GGACCTCAAAGCTCAAGGTTGCAGATATTTTCTTCCTACTCATGAGTTTTTAGAGGATTAGGATTCCATCTGAGAGCACACATTTTCCAGGATCAGGTTCACAGTTGTGCTACTCAGAGAACTCAATCAACAGTACCTGATTATCAAGAAAATGATGGTTTACGTGTGGGCAAAGGGTGACTGCAGCTGGAGAGGACAGTGAATCTTCGCACATTTTGTCAAGTATGAGAGAGACAAGGGAAACTGATATGTTAAAACTGTGTACTTTGGACTGGTGAGTACAGAGAAAAAAAAGGAAATACTTCAGCCTGCCAGGCTCACACAGAGGGCCTGATACACTTAATCTTTGGGTCATGAGTTTACCTCCTTATTGGGCACAGTGTTGTTAAGAGGATCAGACTGATGTAGTGGAAAAAGAAAGTCACTGACCCAGGAGTCAGGGGATGCAACTAATCTCAACTTGGCCACTATACAGTGCATTCTAAAACCAAATACCAGCACTCAGGCCTTGGAACCTCTCCTAGGGCAGAGTGCTAGGCAGCTCCATTAAAATGCCCTTGAGTGAGAGCCACTGCACATGTAGATGATCCAATACAAACAAGTGGTAGAGGCCAGGCAGGTACTTGGCAAAACCTTTTCTGATCCAGGCTTCAAGCCCCAGGGACCTCTCCAATGCAACATTACTTCTCAGTTTGCATTTACCGGTGACCCCAAGTGGTCTTCAGAACCACTGTTGTGGACACTCTTGCTACCCTGACACCATCTCCATTTGTGAAACTGAACTTTTTGTGTTCCTAAGGAGGTCCATACACAGAACCCGTGGCTGATGAGCATTGCTGACAAAGACAGAGCCTGGAAAAGGTTTTGGCTGTCTGAATGAGAAGAGGTCAGGGTTGATGTCTTCCCAGTATAGCAATGTTTTTAAAATGTAAGAACAAAACAGGTTGAGTATCCCTGAAACTTTAAGTGCTGGCACGACATCACAAATGGAAAACTCTTCATATCTTTCGGTGGCTTGCAGTCAAAAGGCAGGGGCAGTTAAGATATTGTACAAAGCTATCTTCAATCCACATGTCTAAGGTATACAGGAATCAGTCTATTTTACAATTAGACTTGGATTCTACATTCCAAATAATGTGTGTATATATAATTATCATAATTGAAAATAAATCTGAAACCCCTATGGCCCTAAACATTTCAGGCAAGGGATAGTCTTAAAAAGAAAGCATTTAACTGGGGGCTTGCTTACAGTTTCAGAAATTTAGTCTATTATTACCACGGCAGGGAGCATGGCAGCATGCATGACTCTGGAGCAGATAGCTAAGAGCTACATTCTGATGTGCTGTCGGGGTGGGGAGTGGGGGGAAGGGAGCCTGGCCTGACATGGGCTTTTGAAACCTCAAATCCTACCTCCCACCACAGTGACACACTTCTCCAAAATGTCTCCACCTACACTATATAGTCACAGCTCTAATCCTTCTAATCCTTTCAAATAGTACCACTCTCCAGTAACCAAGCATTCAAATATATGAGCATTCAAACACATATGGGGCCATTCTTATCAAACCACCACACACAACAATAAGAAAAGAAACTAATCTATAACCTCGTAACGGAATAAAGAATCTGATTGTCACAATAAGCATAGCGCCAAGTGTGGCAAGCAACACCTGTGATCCCAGCACTTGAGAGTTTGAGGCAGAAACACTGGGAGTTCAAAGACATCTTTCACTATACAGCGAGTTCAAGACTCGCTTGAGTTACATGAGATTCTGTCTCAAAAAGTGAAAAGAAAAAATTTATTCAAAACATTTGGTGGAATTCAAACATGAAAATCTACACAGATGATAAAGCACGGAGCTTACCATACACACAAGCATAGGGAAGCAAGAATCTTGAGTGTGATGGGTGAACTATATCAGTGCCAATCACCTGGCTGCCATCTTACACATAATCTTCCCCAATGTTACCTTGAGGGGAACTGTGCATTCTCTGTAGAGCATCTTATACTCCATTTCCCACTTTTTTCCCTTTATGTTTGTGAGATATATATATATAATCTACCTCTCACCCATCTCCAGTCCTCTTATATGCTCTGAACATGCCCATTCCCAACTTCATGTCTTCTGGAGTTTTTTTTTATAAGCCACTAATCCAAGTTATTGTTGTCCACACGTACACGGGTGAGGGCCAGGCACTGAAGCCTGGAAAACCTGCCTGTGGCCACATGGCCATACCCTCAATAAGGAATGACTCTCTTTCCCCTGTTTTTCTCAATTAAATTTTTAATTTTTTTTAAAGGGATCAAGTTATGGAAATGAAGATCAATTTTACAAAAACAAAACTGTATTAACTGGGGCTGGGTAAGCGGCTCACTTGGTAGAGTCCTTACTGCAAAATCTTTGAGGGCCTGATTTCAACCTTTAACACTCATGCAAAAATCCAGGTACAGCAGCATGCACCTGTAATCCTAGATTAGAGAAGGCAGAGGCAGAAAGATCCCGGGGGCTGCTGACCAGCTGACTAGCTACATCAACAAGCCCTAGGTTCCACGAAGAACAGCCTCGATAAGTAAGATGGAGAGGGAGGGAGACGCCCTACTGACACATGCACGCATGCTAGTGCACACATCTGCTCAGACGTACACATAACAAATTGAATTAAGCCATCCAAGTTGAAGCAAAAATATAAAATCACTGTGCTATTAAAATAGTCAAATAATTTTTGACTCTTCTTTGTCTGTCTTTCTAGTGCTGCCGTGTAGCTTGTAAAAAAAATTAATTTCATGTATTTTCGTTTTTTAAAAGATCATCGGCTTTCCAGGAGTGCTAGCAACATGCTAATACGGATGTGACTCTAATAAACATAAAATTGGATCCTGGGTATCATCGATTTTCAGCCCTAAAGCAAAGCTTCAAAGGTGCACCGCCTTTCCCCACCCTGGTCTAGGCAATCGTTAATGCTTGCGTCATTTTTATTTGTTATGCTGAGAAAACATGTCATTTTTAAAAAGCAGAGAACCATCACCAAAGAAAAATAAAGGGAATTTCTCAATCTGAGATATTGTCTCAACCCCCTACGGTTAGCACCATGCATCAGCCAGACAAAATGATGCCCTCTGCAGTGACACAAACAGATAAGAAATCTGTTACATTTTAAAGCTCAGACGATTCAATACTTTGTTGGGATTTTCACTGGTGCCGGAAAGGTTATAATTTATTATATCTTACTTTCATTCAATATAATTAATAATTTAACAGTGTAATTCAGCTAAATACAGCTTAAATTTAGCAGTAGACACATTAGCATAAGCATTAAGAAAGGTGTTTAAAGGAAACAAATCAGAGCCTACCCGGAAGTCACGTGATTATCTGGGGACAACTTCGTGCGTATGAGGACTAGTGAGTCCACCACACTTGCTGGGTATGAGATGAAGACAGGTGCAGAGCCCACGCCAGGCTCTATGAAGTTACATTCTATACAAACATATATGCCCAAGAATGCCAACCTGAGAAGCTAAAGGACCTGGAGGAAAGCTGTTCACGTGACGTCTTAGACTGATGAAGCCCCGCCCACTGCACCGCTCTAAGGCCCATCCTCCGGAGCCCGGGTTCCTGACTCTAGTTCCTTTGCTCTCTGCCACAGCTCAGCTCAGTCACCTATGTGGATTAACCTTATAAGCAACTGTGCTCAAACGCTACACGGAAAGGAAAGGCTGGGGGTGGTGGAACACACACACAAAGCCCTGGGTTTGACTCCCAGAACTGAAAAAAAAAAAAAGGAAAAATAACGTATCTTCAGAATTAGAGTAAATCATTATAATAACCTCAACTCTACTTAAAATTATAAATTTTATAAGTCGGCATGGAGAGGCAGTATTATAATTCATAGATGCAAATACTCTTGAAAACACTAGAATTAGGAAAACACTGTGAATCGTTGTCATAGCAATGTCTTCTCCATGAGATTTTGCTTGAAGTACAATTGAAATGAGATTCAGCTTCCTGAACAAGAATACCTGATAACCTAGAATGTTCAGAAAGTCTATTGAGAAGCCCACTGTCCACGTATCTCATCATGTCAGACAACACACGATGAAGCAACTGAACTTTAACAATTTCAGAAAGTAAGCCAGACAAAATGACACTGTCGCTCAGCTTTCAAATCACAGTTAATATGGAACGTTAGGTAAAATAATACAGAGGTGTACATGAAATACCTTTAATTTTCATTATTGGCAGGGAAGTGAAGACAGACAAGCACACCCATTCAGCCCAGTAACTCAAAAGCCCTCTGCTCATCCTACCCTGAGAATGGGTTTGCCATTAAGGCACTGGGAACATCTCAGAAACATAGCTAACTATGCCAAAGGCTGCCCGAACAATAGCAACCAGGGAAGAGCTTGACCCTTAACCCAGGCTGAGCTTCTTTAAAATGCATTAGTAACAAAAACACCACTGGAGCAGGAAGACCTAGAACACCCAAGGAGGAAGCAGCTTGCCGCAGAGGAGAAAAATCCACTGCCTGCAAGAGACAGAAACAGACCAACCAAGAAGAGGACATGGACTGTGCAAAGAAAGAGTCACCAAAACCTAAAATATCTTCTGCCACCAAGCCTTGGACAAATTAGCCATGCAAAGCTCGGGCATTCCTTTAACTGCCTCCTCCCCCTCCTGCAACACCCTCCCAGCTTAGTGAATGACTGGAGTCTACAGACACCCTGTTCTGCATCACAGATCCCCCAGGAAAAGGCAGCCTCCCCCCTTCTGCAATTGCAAGGGAGAAGTGTAAGTGAATCACAGGAATGATGACCAAGTGGGGGTTGGGAAGAGGAAAAGTGGCCAGGAAAAAACACACACACACACAGGAGGCGACAACGACATTCAGACTTGAACTCGGAATTTTTGAATGGCTCAGAATGGGACACTTTGTCACCTCTGGTTTAATTAGAAGCCTGCTTTCAGGATGCTGGAGGGTGAGGTTCATAATCAAGCACTTACGTAATCCTCCTCATTGAGCCCTTGTTTCTCAACAGAACTTTTCACCTCCATGGAAAACTTCTCAAACTCAGGTTTCACGGTCCTCAGTAGGGTGACTGTTTGGAGGGATGAGTATGCTTGCTTAGCTTCAAAGTCGTGTTTGTCTCCTCTCTTCCACGAGCCATCTCCTACGGGAGAAATGAAAATATTTATAATTCCAAGCCAGTCACCATAAAGAGGCCATTCTGTCTTTTCGACAGCAATGTGTCCCTACATGGTACCTTTGGCAGCAGCGGCAAGAGGTATTGTCATAGTTTTGTACTTAGGTATAACATGACAATGTCAAAATCATTAAAGGAGAAGCTGTCTCTTCGGACACATGTTCCTTTGAAATGTGAGAGAGACAGACAAGCTCTGTTGATGTAATTGCCTTATAATAACCATGGAACTGCAATTGTCAGCCCCCCGGAACTGCAGCACTGCGGAAGCAAAGGGAAGGTTTTGTTCCTGTCTATTCACACTTACTTTCCATTATAAGTGTGTTTGTGTGTATGTATATATGAATCTATCTGTCTGTCTATCTATCTGTTTATCTATCATCTGTCTATCAATATCTACCTATCAAATATCTACAATCCATTATGGAAATGAACCAAGTCACTAGTGTGGCCAAATAAGCATAATGCTATTTGGGCCTAGGATGACAAGTTACTGTAAAGCATGCAGATAGATTACCAAGTTAGTGCTGTTAAAAGTTGGAGGTTAGTGATACTTCTTTCATCTTTACAGGATGAAAAGGGCAAACCTGAGGGCTTATATCTCTACAGTATTGGCAAGGTCATCAAAATTACTAAACAGTGCTAAATCAGTATGTAAAAATCGTGAATATTTTGAGTACACATATAGCAATAATAGAAGAAACATGATAGATAGATGATAGATAGATAGATAGATAGATAGATAGATAGATAGATAGATAGATAGATTCGAACAAACATACATACATACATACATACATACACACACACACATACATACATACATACACCCAAACACACAGTTGATGGATGGATGATAGATATCTAGATATCTTGAACACTTATATGCATACACTCAATCCTCAAAATATCCTTTCTACTTGACAGATGTGGAAACAGAAGCACAGAGACACTTTGCTTCACAGCTCTTGCCTCACAATCATCTGGGGAAGTCTCAGTCTCTTCTCTTGATTTTATTTTGGTGGCTTGAAGGGCCCCAAAAGACAAGATGGACTTCCAAGTTATAATAATAAGCTACTTTCCAAATACATCATCACCATAAATCCTGCTGCTCTCTGAAAACAAGGCAATAGCCCAATAGAGTACCACATAAGTCAACTGTGCACCTTAAGCCCCAGTCTGCATCAATAGCTTGAAACTAACAGCTCAGAAGCAAGGGGACCTCTATCACCTCATGGGACATTTGAGCATGTGGACGGGTCTCTGATATACACTCTACAAGTCCAGAAGTCCACTAAAGAATGACTGTCTCTTTGATCTCTAGCACAGCTTAAGCCAGACGCATCTGACTGAACTGTGTGTATAAGTGCACAACTCTATAATAGCCATAGAGGACATCATAGATGTCTTCAAGAGTCTCTGCCAAAATTGAAAATGAGGTTTTAACCATATAAACAACCAAATAACTTCCTATAAGAGTCAGGTACAGAAAAGCAAAGCAAAGAGAAGAGGCATCAAGCTCCAAGCAGGAGTAATCTCATGTGAAGACAAAGAGTCTGGTCCTAAACGTGTTAATAGGATTTTAATAGGTAGAGAAGACAGTGGAAAGGCATGTCTGGCAGAGCCCATGCCACTGGGAAAAGGTACAAGTGTGTATAGCATCCAGCAGGCAGTGAGTGGAAGATGGATCTCAGTCTGGAAGATGAGAAAAGACAGAAGTGGAGAGTGTGTTTATGGAAACATCTGTTTCATCACAATTCTAATAATAGCAACCATTAATTAATTGATTACTATGCTCAGGAACTACTTAGAGATAAATAAGACAGAGCTGATAACATAGTTCATTAAAGACTAAATCTGTGTTCAATGACCACAAAATTTAATTCAAGCCACCAAACAAAATTTGACAAGATTCATCCTCCCTCTTCTTCCTCTTCTATGACTTTTCCCAAATCATTAAGAGACCACAGGCTAAGAGAAGTCATGCTCGGCTCTGGAACCAGTGAGCAAGCTGAGGAGGGTACTCAGTACCCAAGACCCAGAGAGTGTTGCAGTCATTAGCCATGGATGACTCCAAAGCCCAAGAGTTTCCATGGAGGAGCCTACTTCCTATAGACATGCAGTAAGTACTTACTGAATAACTTTCTTGTTTTCCATTGCATTTGTTTTTAATCGTGTGTATATGTGCATGCTCATCTGTATATGCACCGCATGCATGCACATGACACGGAGACCAGAAGAGAACAGTGTATCTCCTCAAACTACAGTTACAGGGGATTGTGAACTGCCAAATATGGATGCTGACAACCTAACTCAGATCATCTGCAAGAGCAACACACACGCTTTTAACTGCTGAGCCATTGCACTAGGCCCTACTGACTCAGTTTTTGATTGAATCAAAGTTTCAAGACCTACTGAAGCTAGGATATAACACATGATGCTTTCCTATCATACATGAACGCCTAAATTTGGTCCCCAGGCTAAGTTTAAGAAGGCATAGGTAGAGATGCATAAATATTCTGGTGTTTCTAGACAAAGGTAATTATAGTCTTTCATCAATGGAGAAGAGTTCTGTTATCTTCAAGGACTTAAGAGAAATGTGGAATTTTATGCTATCTTAGAAAATATATGTGGAACTAGAACAGCAATAATCTCAGTAAATAAAAGAGGAAGAATATATTTTTCAAAAAAATGAGTCTAATAATGAATCTAAAAATCCAGTCTAATAATGCCAGCAAGCATGACTTAAAATACAATAACTTTAGAAGTTGGTTTTCTAGAAAAATATAGAAATGATAATGCTTACTAAATTCAAACCAACCTAAGTAGGTAGGTATCTGTTCACAACCATAACTTCTTCTGCGATAAGCTCTTCTTCCACACTTGGGGCTGTTGAACCAAAGAAAGCAAAGGTTGATTTGGCACGGTGTCCCATCAGTGGGGACAAATTTAATTCAGCAGACAACTAGGTGCCTCTGGAGATTTATGAGCAGAACGGAAGAATGACAGGAGAGGAGCATGCCTTAGGAAATAGCAGTGGATTAGAGTGGGGAGACACTGCGCATTCTCAGCCACAGTAATCCAGGCAAGAGGTTAAGAGAGGTCGTATGTGGGAAGTCACATGCCAAAAACACAAAATGGCCCTCCAGGAGGCCAAGCTCACTAAGAACTTTTATTTCCTATTTTCTTTTTTCCCTTTCTTTTCTTTCTTTTTTTTGGCATTTTGATATGATATTACATTTTTATCAAAAAATAAATACGTTACTACTTTTATAATCATAAAGAGATAGCACCCACAAGAATGGAAACAAGATAACTGTACAAGAGGAATTCGCAAACTCTACAATGGTTAGGGAGGAATGGTCAAACAGAGAGGGAGACTCATCGCAAATGGCATCAAGGAGAAGAAGAACAGTGATCCTTGGAAGAAAAAGCAGAGATGAAGGAGCGGAAAGGAAGAAATAATAGTGTTGGTTAGTGTCACTGCAGATCCAAAGTGATTTCCAAAGTCCCAAAGGCCACCAACAGGCTAAGGTTGGAATCAGCTCTGAAGCCAGAGAGTATGGCTAAAAGAGTCATCCTACACCAATCAGGATTGGAGCCCAAGGGCTATCTGCTCAAAAGAAGAAAACGCAGAGGAGAAAAGAAGTGGGCTGTGCACAGACTGTTGTTAGTGAGCAGGAAGAGTTAGAGGAAATACAGAGGCACAAACAGAACCAGAAATGTAACAGGCCTCAAAAACAGGAGCATAAGACTTCCAGAAAGGAATAGTTAGAAACATGCCTGGGCTGCCCTGGAGCTGCGTCATCCCATGCAGCAGCCACGAGCTGCATGTCTTATTATTTAAATTCAAATGAACTGAAAATTCAGCTCCTTCACCACATTTGCCACATTTCAAGTATTCAATAGTCACCTGTGGCATGTGACCAGTGGCCACCCAAGCAACACAAAATAGAATGTGGCTAGCCCAGTGTGGTAGTGTAGACCTATAATGCTCGGACTCAGAGGGCTGGTCTACAGGATGATGAGTTTGAGCAAGGCCATGTGCAAAACAGGTGGGAGACGTGGAACAAGACAGAGAAGGAAAGAGAGAAAGAGAGGAAGAAAAGAACAGAGGGTAGAAGAGAGAGAGAGGGAGGAAGGTAGAGAGGAAGGGAGGGAGGGAGGGAGGGAAGGAGGGAGGGAAGAAAGGGAGGAAAGGAAGGAGGGAAGGAGGGAGGGAGGGAAGGAAGAATGTAGGAAGGAAGTGGGGGTACTAAATAGGAAGTGCCATTAAACTGCACTATTTGGAGGCATAGCCCTCACCAAAGCTAAAAAGTTTGTCAAAAAAGCTTCTTGTGACCTTGAGGGAATGACTTTTAGGAGAGGGGATAGATATTAATGCTATTTTTTAATTATGTGTGTATTGATGGTTATTTAATTACCAACTTGACACAATCTACAATCATCTGGGAATGAAGTCCCAATCAGAGCCATTGCAGGTGGCAACATTTCCTGGACCAGGGGTTCTGGACTGTGTACGGATGAGAGCTGAGTACCAGCATACAGGCATCAATTCATTGTTCTAGGCTCGTGATTGTGAACATAATGTGACAAGCTACTTTAAATTCCTGTCTCTTCGGCTTCCCAACAATGTCAGATTATTTCATCACAGCAAGAGGAAATAAAATTGTGTGTGTGTGTGTGTGTGTGTGTGTGTGTGTGTGTGTGTGTCTGCCTGTCTGTCTATGTGAGTGGAGGTATACAGTGTATAGATGTGAACGTCTATGCACACCTGTGCATGCCTGAATGCCAGAAGATGACATCAAAATGCTGAGAATTGGAATTACATGCACATTAGGTATGCCTGGTTTTTTATGTGGGTACCAAGATCTAAGCCCCAATCCCCATGATTGGCTGGATGAGCTTTTAAGCACTGGGCCACCTCCTCAGTCCCCAGTGATCTTCACAACTGTCCTGATGAAGGAATT